TAGGAGCCCGTTCCGGACCCGCCTATGGGTGGAACACTTGGAAAAGACGTGTAAAAAAGACATGAAAACGAACAAAATGAGGCAAAACTGAGGGCCATCGGCACCATGGCCAGTGCCAGTGTGAAATTCTCAATCTCACCCAATAAGTTTGGCACAATTTTCCCAAAATTTCTCCTCCGTTTCCTCAAAGACGACATTTCACGACATTTCTGGGATTGACCTTTGAAGCTTTTCAAACAGATGGTACCTTCTGGACAGATTCTTGCCCCTCCCTCCCCCCCCCTCTCCCCTCCTTATTCGTCCATTGTCGGATTGAGGGAGGGAAGGAGGGGTGAGGGACCTTTCGGAGGCACAAGTAGCAGGTAGAAAAGTCTACTTGGAACCCCTGTCGTCCCCCTCCTCCCCAGGTGCCTACAAGGGCGAAAAGGGGGAGGGGGGTCAATGACGAAGGAAGAAGGTGAGGTGAAAAACTGCCCTGGATTTTTTGCCTGTATTTTTGCCATGAAAAGACGCCTGTGTATTCGTTAACACCACCACCACTGACGGATCCAGAAGGAGGGAGGGCAATGGGTCTTTCGTTGGAGTTAGGATTAGTAAAAGTGAGGGGAACTCTCTTCGACACTCCTTGTCATCCCCACCTCCACCCCTCCCCCTCCCCCCAACCTCCAGGAAACCGCCCTGGATCCGTCTGTGACCACCGACCAAGTTTTTTTCCGCGCGGATAATTTTGACATTTCCTCCTCCAGCAAAATGAGTGACATTTCCTCCTCCTTCTCCTTCTCCCTCCTTACTCCCTCTTTTTTCTCTTCTCGTCACTCTCGACAGGGATGTCCTCCCTCTCCTCTCTCTCTTATCTCCTCATCACTCTCGACAGGGATGGAATGCCAGTGCACTGATTTAACAACCAGATAAAGACAGGTCAGGCGATCGATAACCCTGCTGAATAATTCATTTTTTCACCAAAAAAAAAACTGATAACACGCAAAACTGATAAACTGGTAAGGAATGCGAGAAAGATGAAATGTGTGGGATACAGTGAAACAAAAC